ACAGGAGCCGCTGACGCTCCCGGAATCGCCGGCATCCTCGCGTCCTGGGAGGTCGAGGGACGCGCGGTTGCTAAAGGAGCAGGAAACGGCAACGCCTGCTGAGAGGTACTAGGCTGAGGCGTCTCAGACGTTGGTGACTGCAGGTCAATCCATTCATCTTCTAGTGACTGCCCTGAAGTCTGGGTGGCAGGCCGCAACGCCCGCTTTGGGCCTCTCTCCGGTTGTAGCTTTTCCGCTTGCTCTGTCCTCCTCGGCATACGCTGCTTGCGCTTCTGTGCGCGCCTCTCACGAGGCGCCGCCTGCTGCTCCTGCTGCTGTACTGAGCGCTCCGCTTTCTCCTGGTCTCGTTGAAGCAAAGCCTGCTGATGTTGCTGTTCACCCGCAGGCAAGGACAGCTGTTGCTGCTGCTGTTGCATCCCGGGCAAATGCGCCTCCTGTGGCCTACCCTGCTTGCGCTTCTGTGCGGGCCTCTCAGGAGGCGTCACCTGCTGCGCCTGCTGCTGTACTGAGCGCTCCGCTTTCTCCTGGTCTCGTTGAAGCAAAGCCTGCTGCTGTTGTTGTTCACCCGCAGGCAAGGACAGCTGTTGCTGCTGTTGTTGCATCCCGTGGAAATGCGCCTGCTGTTGAAGCAAATACTGTTGCTGGTGTTGAAGCAAAGCCTGCTGCTGCTGCTGCTGCTGGTGTAGCAAATACTGCCACTGCTGATGGTGCAAATGTTGCTGCTGCTGCCGCTGTTGCCAAAGCAGGTGCTGCAGAACGAGGTGCTGCTGCATCGGCTGGCTCATCATCCCTACACTTCCCTGCGCCTGCTGAATCTGGGCCTCGAGCTGTTGCCGGCGCTGCCGCTCCCTCTGCAACTTCTTCTGCAGCCGCTGAAGCTGTCGCTGCACCCGAGGCCTCTCTCGCTGCAGCAGCCGCTCCATTCGACGCAGCCGTCGCCGCAGCTGCCGCACCTCCAAAGAGGTGGCAACCGTTGCACCTGAAGGAAGGCCTGCACCAGAAAAGTGACGAGGGATGAGAGACAGCAGTCCTGTTGCTGCATCGAGCTCTCCCGTCCCCCGCCCTTGCGCTGAGGACGGTGGGCTGCCAGCCAGAGGTGGCGAAGGGCCAGGCTGCTCCTGGCTTTGACCAGCTTGAGTTCCTGGTGAGCCGGACTGAACTTCAGCGGCTTCATTCAAATTTTGCGGTTGCCGTTGCT